ACCCAGGAGATCGACACTCCCGGAAGTGTCGACTCCCAGCCTACTTCAGGAGACCATTACTCAGCAATGGAGCCGTGTATAGGTGGCGGGGGAGCAGGAGAGGTCAGTCTCATGTTACATGTATGTACTTTGCCTGAACGGTTCAAACATGTTACAGGGTCCCTTTAAGGTTTGAAATCTTTGTAGACATAAATCGTACCTTTTATTTCCTCATTTTCCTCTCCATTGATCAGACTGCAACAAGGTTGCCAGCATCCCGTACATTTACAGACAGTTTTGTAAATATCAGCCGATTTACAAACTGTGCATAAAATATGTCTACGGGCCGGGTGGGCACGTGATGACGTCATGGAGCTGTTGGCGCCTTTTATGAATTATAGAACTGGAGGGGGAACTGGCACTTGGGAGCGGGAGAGCGCCGCCAGCCACTGGGACTATCACTGGAGGACAGGTGGTCTGGAGGAGAACCAGAGGAGCCACTGGGCCTGTCTGACTACCCTGCACCCGAGCGAACAATGGAGGAGGTCCAGCCTCCAGACAGTCTGTGGGGAGTAGGTGTGGTCACCGATGTAAAAGGGGAGTGAATACACGAAGGTAAGGGGAGTACGGATATAAAGGTTCCCCCTTATATCAGTAACCCCTCCCCCCCCCCCCCCTTACCTTGGTGTATTCGCTCTGTGGTCACCAGAGTCCCTTCCTTCCCCATCAGAATTCCCAGCGTTCCCCCTTGGATCAGTTTCCTCAGAGATTCCCTTTACATCAGAGTCTAGGATTCCCCCTTATAGTGCAAGGGAAACTCTGCGGTTCATGATGTAAGGGGCAATGCTGCAGACTCTGATGTAAAGGGGAACGCTGCAGACTCATGCAAGTGGGGGCTCTGGTGACCAGAGACCACCTTACATCAGAGTTCCCCTTTACACCAGAGTCCGCACCATGCCTCCTTTACATCAGAGTTTGTAGGATTCCCCCTTATAGTGCATAGAGCAAGGGAGAACTCTGTGGTTCATGATGTAAGGGGCAATGCTGCAGACTCTGATGTAAAGGGGAACGCTGCAGACTCATGCAAGTGGGGGGCTCTGGTGACCAGAGACCACCTTACATCAGAGTTCCCCTTTACACCAGAGTCCGCACCATGCCTCCTTTACATCAGAGTTTGTAGGATTCCCCCTTATAGTGCAAGGGAGAACTCTGTGGTTCATGATGTAAGGGGCAATGCTGCAGACTCTGATGTAAAGGGGAACGCTGCAGACTCATGCAAGTGGGGGCTCTGGTGACCAGAGACCACCTTACATCAGAGTTCCCCTTTACACCAGAGTCCGCACCATGCCTCCTTTACATCAGAGTTTGTAGGATTCCCCCTTATAGTGCAAGGGAGAACTCTGTGGTTCATGATGTAAGGGGCAATGCTGCAGACCCTGATGTAAAGGGGAACGCTGCAGACTCATGCAAGGGGGGGCTCTGGTGACCAGAGACCACCTTACATCAGAATTCCCCTTTACACCAGAGTCCGCACCATGCCTCCTTTACATCAGAGTCTGTAGGATTCCCCCTTATAGTGCAAGGGAGAACTCTGTGGTTCATGATGTAAAGGACAATGCTGCAGACCCTGATGCAAGTGGGAACTCTGATGTAAAGGGGAATGCTGCAGACTCTTATGTAAGGGGGGGCTCTGGTGACTAAAGACCACCTTACATCAGAGTTCCCCTTTACACCAGAGTCCGCAGCATCCCCCCTTAAATCAGAGTCTTCAGATCTCTCCTTTACATCAGTGTCCACAGTGTTCCTTTTTCCATCACAGTCCGCACTGTGAAGGGGATCCCTGCAGACTCTGATGTAAGGGGAACTCTGTGCTGGGTTATATTAACCCGACCTTCATGTAGAAGGAGAAATCTCTGTTTCTTGACTGTTGTCACAAGCGACATGTTTGTAGCTTAAATATTGATATTAGCCAAAATGACGGTTTTCAGCGCAAATTTTTTGAACCGTCGAGAAAAAATTTGTCACTGTCAGTAAATTGTGTTGTCCGTAAATTTCACTTCAAGAGGTTGGAAACCCTGAACTGCAACATTGTAACAAAACAAAAGATATTCCGGCTTTATGTTTGCCGATCGACCCTCAAAACGATCTCTGCGCTGTGCTAGCAATGTCACACCTCTGCTACAGGGGCAACGTCACCCAAAGCCACTTGGAGTTTGCCTGTATGCTGCGGTCAAGAGGTAGTAGACCCCTCCAGGTGTTCTGATGTGACTTCCATGAGGATTTCTACTGAATCTCCAAATATAGAGAATACTAAAATCAAATTCAACCTGCTCCCCAAATCGAGAGACTGACGATGCCCCTCCTACCTCCGCCTGGCAATTGACCAATCCCTGTGATGGACATCCTCAATGGCTAACGATGAGGTATAGGAAGCTCTAGAACAAGTATTTGTGTGAAAGAAACATTAGATTGGAAGCTCCTTTGAGGACAAGGACTAATGTGAATCACTCTTCTGTTCTGTAGTGCCACTTATCCCACTTTATATACGGGTTCCAATGTGAAATTCGGTTTTTTGTTTTTGTTTTTTTTTGTTTTTGTTTTTTTTTTGTGTTTTTTTTTTTTTTGTTTGTTTTGTGGTTATTTTTTTTTTTGTTTTTTTGTTTTTTGTTTTTTTTTTTTTTTTTGTTTGTTTTTGTGTGTGTTGTCCCTCAAGTGTAGAAACTTCCACCTTGGCTTGCACTGAACTTCTAGAAGCAAAATATATTATTTAATTTATGGTCATTTTATTTGATTTTCAAGTTTAATTGCTAAAGAGACAAAAATAAACAAAAAAATAAATAAAAGAGTGCATTTATATTTACTTTGACTGGAAGCTGTCTGTATTGGGATATACACGGTACATGTGTGTAAATGTGACAATCAACCTTGAACCGTTCTCACCAGCTGACCATTATGCAGGCCATACACGGGTCGAATTCCGAACGAAATTTCTTTAGAAAATCGGACATTTTGTGCGTTTTGTACACCGATGGCTCCCTTCCATTGATTGTGAAATTTGACCAATAAACTCACATTTCCCCTCGTGTTGCTACAGAAAAGAACCCCAAGAACTTTCTTTTCTTTCCAGGTCACAGCTCACGGTTATTTCTTTTTCAATTATATTTCTTTAACGATTCTCCAATCTTTGATTTTAAATTCCAACATGCCGGATCACTCAGATTAAATGGTCGCTTGAAAATCACCCGTTAATGTGTCCTACTAATGGTGCGAAATTTGAATGAAAAATTCTTAGAAAAGATTTTCGAAAGAAACGTCTTTCTGAATTTGACCCGCGTATGGCCGGCTTTACTCAGCATGGCAGCTCATCTCTGCTGTGCACACCTGGCCTTGTTAGTGGACTTTATAGTGAGGTTAGTACTTTAATGCAGGCCATGTACTAGGCCCATGTACATACACTATAATGTCAAAAGTGTTGGTCGGACCCCCCGCCCTTTCCACACACGTGACCTGTAATGGCCCCCCAGTCTTAGTCCGTAGGGTTCAGTATTGAGTTGGCCCCGCCCTTTCCACTGACCTTTAATGGCCCCCCAGTCTTAGTCCGTAGGTTCAATATTGGCGTTGGCCCCCCCGCCCTTTCCCACACACATTGACCTTTAAATGGCCCCCCAGTCTTCGTCCGTTGGGTTCACTATGAGTTGGCCCCGCCCATTCTTTCACACACATGACCTTTAATGGCCCCCCAGTCTGCTGCCGTAGGGGCTTCAATATTGAGTTGGCCCCCCAGTCCTGGACACACATTTGAACCTGTAATGGCCCCCCCAGTCTGTCCGTAGGGTTCAATATTGAGATTGGCCCACAAGCCCTTTCCACAAGATATGGAGGGGCCCCCCACCCGTCTTAGTCCGTAGGGTTTCTGAATCACTTGAGTTGCTCCCTGCACCCTCCATTATGCAGCTATGACAGCTTCACCTCTTCTGAAGGGAAGGCACCTGTCTACACAAGGTTTAGGAGGGATGTCTGAATGGGAAGGTTGGACCCATTCTTCCAGAAACACATTTGTCAGACAATGGCACTGAACAAGTCGGGGGAGGAGGCCTGGCTCACAGTCTCCGCTCTAATTCATCTTAAAGGTGTTCCTTCTATGGGGTTGAGGTCAGGACTTGTGAAGACAGTCAAGTTCCTCACCCCCAAATCTGGCTCACTCCATGTCTTTATGCCTTGCTTTGTGCAAGTCATGTTGGAACAGGAAGGGGGGCCATACCCAAACACTTCCTCCACAAAGAAAAATGTCACGGATAGCGACATGGAACATGGATGGATTGGAATGGATGGATGGATGGAGACTTGGATGGATAAGACATGGATGGAATGGAGAGAGGGCCATCCCAAAAACTCGCTTCCACAAAGTTGGGGGCATGAAATTGTCACACAAAATGTCTCCTTAAGAGTTCCCCATTCACTGGAACTAGGGGGCCAAAGTCCAACTTCAACTGAAAAACAAGCCCACACCATACACATAATCCCCCCTCCACCAAACTTTGCACTTGGCAAATCACAATCGCAGTGGGCAAGTAACCTTGATCTCGGGCACCAAACCCAGCAACGTCCATGGAGTCCACAGAGAAATGAGCAACGTCCTGAGAGCCACCAGCAGGCTTTCACCAATCTGACGCTTTGTTGCAGAAGGCTTGGATGCAGTGCTCGGCCATGCCCATTCCATGAAGGGGCTCTGACGTACATGTGTGGAGGGGACCTCATCTGAAGGCCACACCAAATTTGGAGGTCTTTAGCTATTGGACACCTGCAGACAGTCACAAAGGCGACCTCTAGGCTGCGCACTGTGCGCATCAAGCATGCGCTGACCCCCGCCCTGTCAATGACACCACTTGGTGGGCTGATGGAGGGTTCCCATTGGAACTTCCTGAAATCCCACTAACAGTTGATGTGGAATAAATTTAGTAGCCATGAAAATGTCACGGATGGAACACTTATTGCCCAGGTGGCCACCTATCACGGGATACGCTTGGAGTCACTGAGCTCCTGAGAGCAACCCATTGGAACAGTCTGCATGCACATTGTATATGTGTCCATGGAGGGGATTGGAACACCTGAATCACATGATATGGAGGGGATTGGAACACCTGAATCGCATGATATGGAGGGGAGGGGAGCACCTGAATCACATGATATGGAGGGGATTGGAACACCTGAATCACATGATACGGAGGGGATTGGAGCACCTGAATCACTTGATATGGCGCGGGGATTGGAACACCTGAATCACATGGATATGGAGGTGATTGGAACACCTGAATAACAAATATGGAGGGGATAACACCGATAATCACATGATTGGGTGGGCAAGGGCCAATACTTTTGGCAATATAGTGTATCCAACAAATTCCTGAAAATGGTTTGAAAGATTCCAAACCAGTCTGAGATTTGTGTGTCTGACTTCAGGTCTAAGCTTTCATGGTCCAGTGCAAATTCAGGTGCGACTTTTGAAGACTTTATTGTTCCTTGTGAAGATTTTCAATGCTTTCTTGCCATTTGTAATGTGATTTCCATTATATTCTATGTATGTGAAATTGCAACAAAAATGTCATGCAGAAAACTACTTGCAGCAAATCCCAAATGTTAAGATATTGACTTTCACATTCATTAGATGCAATTTCAATTCCCAAATCGCACTGGTATGACGGGCACTAAGGCTCGGTGCACATATGTGTGGGTGCTGCCGCTGCGGATCTGCACAGAAAACCGGGGCAGCCGCACCACCCACACAGAAGAATATGCGGACTCGCGGGTGGGTGCCATTAATTCTATTGGCACGCCGCCCGCACTGGAAATCACAACCGCACTGGGAACTGAGGTTCCAATGCGAGCTGCGTGTTCAGAAGAAGCGAAGGGACTTCTTCCCTGCCTGTCCCGGAGCATGGGAGTCCATTCACATGAATGGACGCTCATGCAAAACGCGGACCCAGCAGAAACGCAGATATGTGAACCGGGGGTAATCCTGGCCCCTGATCAGTAAAATGAGGAACAAGGTGCTCTGATGGTGGGACAGGTGAGCTGACAGGTGTGTGTGGGGGCTTGGCATCGAGGGCAGGGATTACACCAAAATCAAGAAAGTCGAGACCTCGGTAGCAAATGAAGTTCACTTTCAAGGGCATTGAAAAGCCTTTTCTATCCAGGAAGGTCATTTCGTAGGATTGGTGACAGGTTCTCCTTGTGATGTTATTTATTCTGAATTACCTGCAGAGCAGTATTGTGCTGCGCGATATCAGAGCGTTACACCACAATCATCCGAGGAGCTGTATTATTGTATAGTACATAGTATTCGACTTTGCTGAGCAGGAATTCGTCATTATATGCAGAGCAATCTTATAACATGCAGAGCAGTACATAGCAATTACCTGCAGAGCCAACCGTCGTACTACCCTGCCTTGCAGAGCCCTGTTATTACGCGAGGACCGATAATGGCGATATAGTGTTTAGGAGAAGAGTAAAAAATATAACGCGTATCCAGCTGATCGATATCAAAAATATACCGCGTATCCAGCTGATCGATATCAAAAATATAACGCGTATCCAGCTGATCGATATCAAAAATATAACGCGTATCCAGCCGATCGATATCAAAAATATACCGCGTATCCAGCCGATCGATATCAAAAATATAACGCGTATCCAGCCGATCGATATCAAAAATATAACGCGTATCCAGCCGATCGATATCAAAAATATAACGCGTATCCAGCCGATCGATATCAAAAAATATAACGCGTATCCAGTGATCGATATAAAAAATATAACGCGTATCCAGCTGATCGATATAAAAAATATAACGCGTATCTAGCTGATCGATATCAAAAAATATAACGCGTATCCAGCTGATCGATCTCAAAAATATAACGCGTATCCAGCTGATCGATATAAAAAATATAACGCGTATCCAGCCGATCGATATCAAAAATATAACGCGTATCCAGCCGATCGATATCAAAAATATAACGCGTATCCAGCCGATCGATATCAAAAATATAACGCGTATCCAGCCGATCGATATAAAAAATATAACGCGTATCCAGCCGATCGATATAAAAAATATAACGCGTATCCAGCCGATCGATATAAAAAATATAACGCGTATCCAGCCGATCGATATAAAAAATATAACGCGTATCCAGCCGATCGATATAAAAAATATAACGCGTATCCAGCCGATCGATATAAAAAATATAACGCGTATCCAGCTGATCGATATCAAAAATATAACGCGTATCCAGCTGATCGATATCAAAAATATAATGCGTATCCAGCTGATCGATATCAAAAATATAACGCGTATCCAGCTGATAGATATCAAAAATATAACGCGTATCTAGCTGATCGATATCAAAAATATAACGCGTATCCAGCTGATCGATATCAAAAATATAACGCGTATCTAGCTGATCGATATCAAAAATATAACGCGTATCCAGCTGATCGATATCAAAAATATAATGTGTATCCAGCTGATCGATATAAAAAATATAACGCGTATCCAGCTGATCGATATCAAAAATATAACGCGTATCCAGCTGATCGATATCAAAAATATAACGTTTATCCAGCTGATCGATCTCAAAAATATAACGCGTATCTAGCTGATCGATCTCAAAAATATAACGCGTATCCAGCTGATCGATGTAAAAAAATATAACGCGTATCCAGCTGATCGATATCAAAAATATAACGCGTATCCAGCTGATCGATATCAAAAATATAACGCGTATCTAGCTGATCGATATCAAAAATATAACGCGTATCCAGCTGATCGATATCAAAAATATAACGCGTATCCTGCTGATCGATATCAAAAATATAACGCGTATCCAGTTGATCGATATCAAAAATATAACGCGTATCCAGCTGATCGATATCAAAAATATAACGCGTATCCAGCTGATCGATATCAAAAATATAACGCGTATCCAGCCGATCGATATCAAAAATATAACGCGTATCCAGCCTGATCGATATAAAAAATATAACGCGTATCCAGCTGATCGATATCAAAAATATAACGCGTATCCAGCTGATCGATATCAAAAATATAACGCGTATCCAGCTGATCGATATCAAAAATATAACGCGTATCCAGCTGATCGATATCAAAAATATAACGCGTATCCAGCTGATCGATATCAAAAATATAACGCGTATCCAGCCGATCGATATAAAAAATATAACGCGTATCTAGCCGATCGATCTCAAAAATATAACGCGTATCTAGCTGATCGATATCAAAAATATAACGCGTATCCAGCTGATCGATATCAAAAATATAACGCGTATCCAGCTGATCGATATAAAAAAATATAACGCGTATCCAGCTGATCGATATCAAAAATATAACGCGTATCCAGCTGATCGATATCAAAAATATAACGCGTATCCAGCTGATCGATATCAAAAATATAACGCGTATCCAGCTGATCGATATCAAAAATATAACGCGTATCCAGCTGATCGATATCAAAAATATAACGCGTATCCAGCTGATCGATATCAAAAATATAACGCGTATCCAGCTGATCGAAATAAAAATATAACGCGTATCCAGCTGATCGATATCAAAAATATAACGCGTATCCAGCTGATCGATATCAAAAATATAACGCGTATCCAGCTGATCGATATCAAAAATATAAAACACACAAATATAACGCGTATCCAGCTGATCGATATCAAAAATATAACGCGTATCCAGCTGATCGATATCAAAAATATAACGCGTATCCAGCTGATCGATATCAAAAATATAACGCGTATCCAGCTGATCGATATCAAAAAATATAACGCGTATCCAGCTGATCGATATCAAAAATATAACGCGTATCCAGCTGATCGATATCAAAAATATAACGCGTATCCAGCTGATCGATATCAAAAATATAACGCGTATCCAGCTGATCGAAATAAAAAATATAACGCGTATCCAGCTGATCGATATCAAAAATATAACGCGTATCCAGCTGATCGATATCAAAAATATAACGCGTATCCAGCTGATCGATATCAAAAATATAACGCGTATCCAGCTGATCGATATCAAAAAATATAACGCGTATCCAGCTGATCGATATCAAAAATATAACGCGTATCCAGCTGATCGATATCAAAAATATAACGCGTATCCAGCTGATCGATATCAAAAATATAACGCGTATCCAGCTGATCGATATCAAAAATATAACGCGTATCCAGCTGATCGATATCAAAAATATAACGCGTATCCAGCTGATCGATATCAAAAATATAACGCGTATCCAGCTGATCGATCTCAAAAATATAACGCGTATCCAGCTGATCGATCTCAAAAATATAACGCGTATCCAGCTGATCGATATAAAAAATATAACGCGTATCCAGCCGATCGATATAAAAAATATAACGCGTATCCAGCTGATCGATATAAAAAATATAACGCGTATCCAGCTGATCGATATCAAAAATATAACGCGTATCCAGCTGATCGATATCAAAAATATACCGCGTATCCAGCTGATCGATATCAAAAATATAACGCGTATCCAGCTGATCGATATCAAAAATATAATGCGTATCCAGCTGATCGATATCAAAAATATAACGCGTATCCAGCTGATCGATATCAAAAATATAACGCGTATCCAGCTGATCGATATCAAAAATATAACGCGTATCCAGCTGATCGATATCAAAAATATAATGCGTATCCAGCCGATCGATATAAAAAATATAACGCGTATCCAGCTGATCGATATCAAAAATATAACGCGTATCCAGCTGATCGATATCAAAAAATATAACGCGTATCCAGCTGATCGATATCAAAAATATAACGCGTATCCAGCTGATCGAGATCAAAAATATAACGCGTATCCAGCTGATCGATATCAAAAATATAACGCGTATCCAGCTGATCGATCTCAAAAATATAACGCGTATCCAGCTGATCGATATCAAAAATATAACGCGTATCTAGCTGATCGATATCAAAAATATAACGCGTATCCAGCTGATCGATATAAAAAATATAACGCGTATCCAGCTGATCCAGCTGATCGATATAAAAAATATAACGCGTATCCAGCTGATCGATATCAAAAATATAACGCGTATCCAGCTGATCGATATCAAAAATATAACGCGTATCCAGCTGATCGATATCAAAAATATAACGCGTATCCAGCTGATCGATCTCAAAAATATAACGCGTATCCAGCTGATCGATATCAAAAATATAACGCGTATCCAGCTGATCGATATCAAAAATATAACGCGTATCCAGCTGATCGATATCAAAAATATAACGCGTATCCAGCTGATCGATATCAAAAATATAACGCGTATCCTGCTGATCGATATAAAAAATATAACGCGTATCCAG